ACGAAAATTATACGACGCTTCGATCTTTAGATCCTCGCGACACAAAATAGCGATTCGAGTGGCAAGTCGAAAAAGTAAACTAGATGGTATTCAAGTGAAACTCGGATATCAAATGCGCTGCCAAGCACGAATCTCGAATATCAGAAACAAGGGAATATCTCGTAAAAGACGAATGCTAGGTTTTACGACTCATCAACAGCCGTTTTCTTCTAAATGATCTTTACATATTATTGGAATCGGCACTTTTTGTACATCTGTGAGTTCTAATATTCAAGTTTCGACTGATCATCTGACGGAAGTAGAAAAGCAATTGAAAGGCAGACATGACAAAATTCATCTATTAGAAGAACTCTATCAAAACGCATCAGTATATTTCTAACGAATGATATCGATTGATCATTTAACTATCTATATGAATCATTACCTATCATCAGCTGCATTCACGACTGTTAATTAATTTGAAGCACGAAAAAGATTAAGTTCATAAAAATCTTGCCTCTTTGGAGCTCTATTAAACAAGAAATGGAATCTTTTCGTGAAATTGTGTAAAAAATGATGTCAGCTCGATCTCTATATTTTTAATTCACGCTTGAATGAGTATTCTCTTAGTCTTCGTTCTCGGGCTCATCACAACACAACATGGCAAATCTTGATGCATACGTCGAGAAAATAAAATACAAACAAAAAAGGAAACTGCCGAAGGGCTAAATAAATTCCGTGCCTCGGGTCATAATTATATGGCGTATTTAAGTTCGAGAAAAAAGCTTAGGATATATATAGTAGCAATAATATATGTCATACTCTGTACGTTGCACTTCATTAAGAAAAATAGTGAAACCAAATATTTAGTGAATTCTGTACGTTGCCGATAGTTAAAAGTAAACTTGAATTTCTAAGTTTTCTTTAAATTGTTGAGCAAATTTTCAAGAATAAAAAAAAAAGAAAATTTCAAATTTTCGGTTAATTTTTAGAAAATAATTTACATGACAAAATAAGTTTTTCCAAAATTGATATTATTAAATTTTTAAGAATTTGAACAACGAAAATCTGAGACTTAAGATTGTTTTCTATTTAAATAATTTAAAGAAGAAGAATGATATTGAATTTAAGAATTTTTGGAACTTCAGTTTTTTGTTCGCAAATGAGAAGACAAGGCCGTTGACAGCGTTGGTCGCACATAAGTTATAATGATAACAGAAACTGAGCGATCTTCAATGCAAAAACGACATACTATCGCTCATGCAGCGGCACTACGATAAAAAAATTTTCTTGACGCTAATTGGCTTCCCAGAAAGAATTCATTCTCTTTTCTCGATTTTTTTTTCTATTTTGAGAGAAAGATACAGCCAGAGAATTTTATCTTTGGATGACGAGAAAAACAAGCATTTGCACCGGGCGAACTAATCAAGTTTCACATTCTTCTTTTAGAAAAAGCCATATTCTTCACTGCAAAACCTATATGGATAATCAGAGTAACCAAACGACTTTGGTCACTAGCGTTTGTAGTGTTATAGACGAGCTCGGCCATGATGTTGTTCCCATGTATCGAGTCCTATTTGGTATAAGCTGCGTCACTGTTCCTCTCGGCATTCTTCTCAACATCATTTTCGTGTTTGTTTTCATTCGATGCGGGAAAAAAGTATTCAATGTGAAAAATCAGGCACTTTTACTGAGCTGTCTGTTTCAAGCATTGCTCACTTTTCTACAAGGTCCGATACGAGTCTATTTCTATTATTATCATGGTTGTTTACCTGAGCCTGGCACTCCATTGTGTGAGCTTACTGTTTACCTTGACTACATTCCAACACAAATCAACAATTTTCTTCTTGCACATCTCTCGATTGAACGCTTCTTTCTTGTGGCGAAACCGTTCATTTTTCATCAAGGTCGTCAACAGACCTCTTCATTTGCCATCTATCTTCACTATGTCGGTCTATTTGTGGCTATTGTCTTTCCTTGCATTTATTACCCAGTTATCATGCATCATGGAGCTGCAACGATTGATCTTGATGATCCTTCGGAAACACAAACTTGTGATCTGTGGTATGCACGTGATATTTATGAAACTTTCGATTTGCTTATCACATTCATACCCTATTTTCTTATTGTAATATCTTGTTTGGCTCTCATTGGTATCAATTTTCAGCGAAAATGTTTTTGCTGTAGTTGTAGTCGTCAACAACGAAGATTGGCTGTCAGTCGAAGTCAACGACGCCTTCTCTTTTCCATGCATCTATTTCTTATCTGGTTTCTTGCTACATGGTCACCTTGGGTCTTCTACGACTTTTTCCAAACAACTTTGAATCTTACCTATTCAGTTTACATTGATGCGATAACAACATTTATCGTCTATTTAAATTACACATTTAGTTCAACAATCGTTATTATTACCTTCAAAGAGTTTCGACAATACTGTCTTCGCAAGATTGGCATCGCAAAACCTTCTATTGCATTTCAAAATCGTGTTGCACCAGCTCAAACAGTTCAACGTGTGACAGAAGCTCATTGTATTGCTGTTGTTTCGACATGTATAAAATAAATAACGAACTACGAAAAAAAAAAGAAATATTGTCTCATATTTCATTCTTATAAGTATTGTTGGAATACTTGTAATATAGAATTTACCTTCTCAGTACACAGTGATAAGTTATTGTCATCCTTCTTTTCACAGCAATATAAGTATGGATGTATCAATTACACAAATGTTTGCACTAAAAATTGGATAAAACACACGCGAACACACTACTTTTCTCTCTCTCTCTATGATCTGACTCTCAGAGAGTCTGCTCTCTCTAACCACTAACGTAAGTTCATTCGCAACCTGAAAATCTATTTAAAAGTTGAAACACCAACGTGAAAAAATCCAAAAAGTTTCAAATTATTACTTAGTAGAATATCAGCATGTTTGTCTGTCTGTGGGAGGATGCGGAGGAGTGTGATGACTATTTTTTCGCTTTATATACTTCAACATTCATTGACGATCGGGAAATGAAGAAAATAATCACAGAGTTCTACTGTTTTACGAAGTGACAATATCATACCGAATTACTCGCTAGCAACGATGAACTTGAACGCAAAAACAATATTGCTTCAGCCGGCTACTTGAATGCATCAAAGAACGAAGAGTTGCCTGCGAATCGAGTCTTCAGCAATGCATTTGTTCTTTCCAAATCGAACGAAAGAAAACTATCCAATTAACACAGAGACTTTCTTGTTGTCGAAACTGTAAAAATTGCTGATTTCAGAACAATAGAGAGTAGGATATGTCTTGAAGAGCAAAGTGCGAGGAACAAGAGGTTTATGATCAATTTCACTACAGCTAGTTCGATAACTTTTCCGAGTTGACAGAAAAATCAAATTGTAAGTTTCTTATTTGGAACAAATAACATCTTGCATTTGTCAACCATTTCTTTGATCGCTATCAAAAAAGAAAAATATCGATTTAACTAAATTCTTCGACATGTGTCGACTCGTTTTGGAGCCTGTTGACATATTTGCCGATTACTGTACCTGTTTGTTATTCGATCAAAAATGTCATCTATCATTATTTTTTTCTTCATCAATTGGTTTTGCACTGCAATTTGATTGGTTCTCCATATGTCAAATAGGGGTGTAGTTTTTGGTATGAATACAAGCCTAAGACTGGGTTGGGTGCGAGAATGAGTTTAAATGAGTTATCAGTTAAAGGGGAGCTAGACGTATACATTCAGATTCATATGCTCAACCACACTCACACCCACCTTAAGATAGTACTCTTCTACGAGAAAAACGTTATTCGTCCGCATTATCCGCTTTCGATGAAGAAAAAAATAATGATA